AAAAACTCATGCTTCAGAACAGCTCCTTATGGTATTGACAAGCACTCCTGTACTTCAAAGAGGTCCCCACATACAAACAGTAGCTTGGTAATTGTGAACACCTTTCACCTACTCCTAAAATTCTTATGAAGTTTTCCAGTGCCTTATCTTCTCCTAACATTGTAAAGAAGACTCAACTGGCTGCCTTCGCCTTCTAAAATAATTTGTTGGAAACCACATTCCAGTGATTGAACTCAGGACCACTCAACCACTGAGCCACATCCCCAGCTCTATTTTGTATTTTATTTAGAGACAGAGTCTCACTGAGTTGTTTAGCGTCTCACAGTTGCTGAAGTTGGCTTTGAACTCGTGATCCTCCTGCCTCAGCCTTCTGAGCCACTGGGATTACAGGCATGCACCATCACACCCAGCTGGAAAACACATTCTTAACAAGTTTTTTAAAAAGAAAGTTAAATACAGTTTTGCTGAGGAATAATCAGTATCTTGTGGAGAGTGCATTGTTTGTAATATCATGGCTAAAATTTGTTTTTATGTTTTGAATTTGTCAGATGGGGCATTTTCTGGTGAGCTGGGTTTGAGGCCCTTCCCCTTCATATAAGTGTATGTACAACATGATGGGAACTTGTATTACTTCACACTTTCTTAAACTAAGTCTTGTCTCGTTTTATGATGGCAGGCCAGTGCTTCAGGAAGCATTTTGCAAGGTTGGTAGTTACCTGCTCCCTTCTCAATTCCTTTATGGAACTGGAAACTATTGAATGTCTGTTGTATACACCTTCCAAAACATGAAGGAAGAGAAGAAATGTTGGCCAAAAACCCTTTTCGAGTATGTGCCCCTGTAAAAAGGGCTATGGACCAAGGATATGATTGATTGTAGGTAATTGTAAAAACAACAGTTCATTTTATGTGTTTGAATGCTGTACTCCCAGGATAATTCCCAGGACCTCTGTGGAAAGGATAGAACTACAGGAAGGAACTCTTCCTTCCAGGAATTCATTTATCATGCCATACTGACATGTAGAATTCCAGCATACAAAGATTAGTTTTAGTTTTCTTTTGTGCTTTCCATTGTTTCTAAATCACAGTAAGATCCTTATGGTCATCAAATATAGTATTTGTAAAATTTATTATATCTCAGATTATTTCAAAAGATGCAGTAGAGCTGTTCCCATTAAAGGACCTATGGAAGTTCAAAGAACTAAAAATTTTGACTCAGTAGGTTTAGGCCTGTGAGCTTGTGTTCTTTGTTTATGAGTGTTTTGGGTAGTGATTATGTATTAAATTATTCAAGAAAAAATAAACCTAACAATGTTACTAACTGTCTTATTAATGAAATAATCCCTAAATGTTGAATTCTAGTCTGACCAATGATAGTCTGAATAAAAGTCATACCTCTGATGTGGCTCAGTGGTAGAGCACCCATCTGGCATGCATGAGGCCCTTGGTTCAATCCCCAGCACCACAAAACAAGCAAACAAACAAACAAACAAAAAAAATCTGTCATTTGTCATCTTGCTTTGCTTGATATGTAATGAGGAAATAGTAATAACTTTCTTTTTATATGAATTTTTTCTTCATTCCATAGGAATGACCACTTCTAATCTATCTGTTTAATAATTTTCTTTTTTAGAGCATTAAAATGAAAAGTAGAAGGGAATAAATGAGAAAAGAATTCCCAACAAATGCATGGTATTTCAGTGTTAAGACCAAAATGTGTCCGGTCTTGCCAGTATCTCTTCTCTTGCCAGATAAGGTGAATACTGGGATTGCCGCACCATTTGGGGGAACAGTGTAATTGTAGGAATAGCTTATGACTCCTAACAGGCCTCATCTCTTGGCCTCTTTTTTTTTTTCCTTACAAATCAGTCATTTTATTTTATTTTATTTCATTTCTTTTTTATTGATTTTTTTAAAAAAATAAATGACAGTGGAATGCATTATAATTCTTATTACACATATACAGCTCAACTTTTCATATCTCTGGTTGTATATAAAGTATGTTGACACCAATTCGTGTCTTCATACATGTACTTTGGATAATGATGTCTGTCACATTCCACCGTCCTTGCTAATCCCCTGCCCCCTCCCCCTCCCCCTCCCTCCCACCCCTCTTCCCTATCTAGAGTTCATCTATTCCTCCCATTCTCCCCCTCCCTACCCCATTATGAGTCAGCCTCCTTATATCAGAGAAAACATTCTTGGCATTTGTTTTTTGGGGATTGGCTAACTTCACTTAGCATTATCTTCTCCAGTGCCATCCTCTTTTTCCATTGATTTCTTCACTAGACTGCAGATCCAGTTAGGGGCTTTTCCCCAGCAAGTCTGATAGAATTGTGGCTCTATTATCTACTTTTCAGTATCCCTTCTCTAGCTCATGGATTGAGAGCAGGAAGAGGCTGCAAACCTTCCATAGACTTCATTTGTTAATTCTTTCCTTGAATACTTACTTGGGACATTACACTGGCCACAGACACAATAGTAATAATCTGTCTTCTATTTCTTTGCAATTACATATTATTATGTCAATCCTGATAAGAGGAGGTATCTTGCTGAAATAATGACAAGATTGATGATGCTCATAGATATTGGAAATTTTAAGTTAAAAAGTAATTAAAATTGCTATATTAAGTTGATTAAAGGAATTCAATGTAGCAATAAAAACAGCATGACAAGGGCTGGGGTTGTGGCTCAGCGGTAGAGTGCTTGCCTAGCACATGTGATGTTCTGGGTTCTATTTTCAGCACTGCATAAAAATAAGTAAAATAAAATAAAGGTATTATGTCCAACTACAAGTAAAAAATAAATATTTTTTAAAAAACAGCATGACAAATTTGAAATTTGTAGTTTTTATTGTAAAAAAAAAGAAAAAAGTTCAACTCTTATTTCCGTTATCTTCTTAAATTTGTATGAAGTTAATACTAAAGAGCTAAAAAGAAAAAAAAATCTAAGAGAAGGTACTTTACTGGGAATGTACTATATATACTGGGAAAGAATTTTCAGAGTTTGTGTGGTGTCAAAAATATATTTATGATTATGTATGTAACCATTATTAGTTGGATTTTCTGTCATGAAAGTATTAAACTGTCTTTTTCTGATATGCCATGAAATACAGACTCAGCTAAAACACTCCTCTGTGCTGTCTTCATTTCCAGCATAGTTTCATGAGTACAGACGCTAGGACTTGTCTTGGGCCAGACCCCAGCACAGGGTGGGGACCCGATGGTTATTTGTTCAGTGCTTTGAATCTTAAAATGTCGTGCATCGGTATGATACTCTAGAGCTTCCACATTTTTACTCAGATTAGTTTATTTGACTATAATATCAAATTTGTGAGAAAGTACAAACATTGTATCATATGAATAAAATTGTAGTTCCAACAGAACTAGAGTAGAAGCGGGTCTCCACAGGCCATTGATTGTTTTATATCATCATCATTCAATAAATGCTTATTGTTGTTATGGGCCAGTCACTGTGTTGATTATCTTATCGAACCCTTGCATTAACCCTATGATATAATGCTGTGGGTATTTCTCTCATTTTAGAGATTAAGCAACTGAGACATGACACAGCTAGCCAGCTAAGGCAAAGCCATGCGGTTAGTGTCAACACTGGGATTTAGGCTCCAGCAGCACAGGTTCACAGCCAGGCTCTCAGTTGGCCTGGTCACTGCTCTTATGATTGTCAGTGAGAATACATGAGCCAAATTAAGTACCATGGGGATGTCCTGATGACTTTATTAAATTACTTGCTATTATTGTAATAGGTGCTTGGTGAACGTTTGCGTAAGTTGATAAGCCAGAGATGAGTGCTGTGTTGGGGAGGGTAAAGAGACAATACCAGAGGGGAAAAAGGTGAGTGGGAGCGAGACACTGATGAGGAAGTCAGACAGGCTGCCAGGATCCTAAGAAAGGCAGATCGGCATTCTTTTAGAGAATAAGGTAGCTCCCAGCTAATAGAGGATGACTCTGAAAAAAAAAAAATCTATTGAAGGCAGCTGGATATTTGTGAGGTCAGGACACACCTACTGTCTTATAGAAAGGTCTACAGTCAGAGGAGAGACTGCAGTGCCAACCAAATGAGATGATTGTGACCAGGAAAGATTTCATTGGAACTTAGCAGTGTGGCTTTTAATGAATGTGCTGAGCTGTAGTACTAGCTAAATGTTTGGAAGTTCTGGGGTGAAAACACTGTCTTAAGCTCTCCTCAATTACTTGTTAAGGAGTGCATCTGTCTTTGACTTGACTCAAGAATCTATTGTAGTTCTGTGGCTGTGGCTCAGCAGTAGCACACTTGCCTGGCATGTGTGAGGCACTGGGTTCGATTCTCATCACCACATATAAATAAATAAATATAAATAAAAAAGGTCTATCAACAACTAAAAATATATTTTTTTAAAAAAAAGAATATATTGTAGCTAATAACACATTAAACAAGTCTTTGCCTCTAGGTGAGTATAAAACTAGCAAAAGTTCCACTACCAACAAGCTACAGTTGGTGAGCATATGACCACCTATGCCAGGGGAATACATTGAAATCAAAATTGTTCTAAACACACATTGACTTACACAGGCAAAGCAGTACCATGATGAAGGGAAGGTGGAGCGGAATCATTAACATTATCCTTTGCCCATAAAATCCAAAGGCCAAACTCCCGGGTGACAAAATAATAGACCACTGTACCTGGTTTCTCCTCAATTTTGCCAGTAGTTTGTTGGAGTGGCCTTGTGCAAGTTGCATCCCCAATAAGTCATTACTGCTGTGTTGGTTATGTCCTTCCTGTAGGTTGAATTATAACTTGTATCTAATCATACTCCAGATAGGTAAATTTACCAAATACTATTTATATTTTTCAACTCTACCTGAGTTAAAATGTGTGTCTGATATATAATGGACATTGCTTCAGCTTTAATTCTACCTCCATTTTCAGTTTGGTACTACAGAAGGTTATTCTCACATGCACCCCAAGTTGTGTTTCCTGACTTTCATTTTCTTTTCAATAGAACAAATCGGCCAGGAGATGTTGGAAAACCTCAGTCATGACAGAGAAAAGATACAACGAGCACGGGAAAGAGTAAGTACAAATGACACTATCCTTCTACATATCTAATAAATGGGAAGACATAGAAGGTCCTTCGGACATGCACAGACAGAACCATGACATAGACATAAGTACATACGTATAGAAGTGACTAGGGAGAAAGGAACATAACGTCTAGTAGGAGGAAAAGGAAGAGTGCCAGATAGGGGCAAAGCAGCTGACTCTCCCCATCTGGAATGCCCACAGGGGGATTTTATTTAGCCCTCTGGCTGAGAAGAAGGTCATTGAGGTGGATTTTGGAATATGTCACTCTTTCAGTAAAAATACTGATGATTCCGCCCTCTTTGCTTCATTTATTCCCACTTATATTTTTAGGAGTTTGTACATTTTGTACATTAGAGATTAATTACCAGATGTATGTTAAACTTTGTCAGCTTTTGAGACATTTGCTTTTATATCCAGTTCAAGTATCCAGTTTAGAGCTCCTGACATCACTTCTCACATGTCACTTTCTAAATCTAAGAATTCTCAGAGTTTGCATAAGTGTCATAAATGTATTTGTGCTGTGTATATAAACATTTTTTATTGTTTGGCTTTTATATCGTGAAATAAAATGATAGAAAATGATTGCTCGCCATGTACTTTAGAAATAATCTAATCATTTGTAGTTGAGTTGAGTTTTAATGCTGCTCTTCTCCTCCTAGCTTCGGGAAACAGATGCAAACTTGGGGAAGAGCTCCAGGATTCTGACGGGGATGTTGCGAAGGTAAGAGCAAGGTAGGGACCGACCTTCCTCTCCTGTCTCTTTTGCTGTTTTTATCTAATTGCAAACAGGCATTTTACAGGCTTGCAAGCTTCTACTCCCTTCCCCTGTGTCTAGACACTTTTGAAATAATAGAGCGCTGATTGTAACTCTTATTTGGACAGGGACACATACTGAGTAACTCCTATTAGAGAGAAGGCTTGAGCTAGCGGGGTTACCTCAAGCTATGGAAAAATTAGGGTTAGACATGAAGAATGCTTTCATAGCCTGAGGAAGGCCCCATGGCAGGAGCAGCCTGAGTTTATTTTCTATTTTGATGGAGGGAGCGCAGCCTGCGTCGGCAGGAGCTCACTTGGTCTCAGCCTGGCTCTCTCTTGCCTCGTTTTCATTTCTCTAAAAGGACTCCATTTGGGGAAACATTTTTATTTAATGTATATAATTCAAGATGATTTATAAAATGTCAATATTATCTGAATAATCTGAATTCATGTGTGCTAGCAAACAAATCTTTATGTTTTCTGTGTGTGACTAAACTTTGACGGAAAATATTCGGGAGAGTATAAAAAAGAGAAATGAATCAGAGTTGGTCATGTTCTATGTAGTATTTTCAGCATGGAATGATTTTCCACTTGAGATCTACCAGGTAAGAGTATCATCTGGCACCACGATGCCCATTTGGAACTGTGAATGGAAAAGTGAGTCACGAATATTGTAACTGATCTCTAGGAGAGCTTGATTGGAATGTTAAGGAAGAAAATCTTCATTATAGTTGATACTGAAGAAACAACAATTTCAAAATAACAAAGCCTTCCCTGATCATGTATCCATATACAGTAATTTGCTAAAATTATCTCTTGTGTTGAAGATTTATTGTATAAGAAACTATTCAATGTACATTTGTTCTGCCATAAAAGTTGATGTGATCTCTCAACCTGATCAGAAATGAGCCCAAAGTCCCCTGTGCACTGCCAGCCTAGTGTCCACATTGCTCCTTCTTTCCCTGGACACACTGCTCCAACTCAGAGCCATAACCACCAAATTCTCTGATCAAGAATAGTAAGTAATGGGGCTGGGGCTGTAGCTCAGCGATAGAGCGCTCGCCTAGCACATGTGAGGCCCTGGGTTCGATCCTCAGCACCACATAAAAATAAATAAATAAAATAAAGTATTGTGTCCAATTACAACTAAAAAAAATAAATATTAAAAAAAAAAGAATAGTTAGTAAATGACTTGAGAAAAGCTCAAAACCTACAGAGAAGGGAACTGGTGATTGAAAGGAATGCTTCAGTGCCTAAAGACAATAAAAAAGAAAGAAAGGGAAAAAACCTTCACTGCTTTCCTGGGAGGGCCCCTGCGATGTGAGCTGTAACGAATATTCTGCATATGTCTCCATTTTGTCAAATCTCATTAAAGAGTCCTCCTGCTTTATGTCAATTGAGCTGTCCAGAAATCATTCATCATTTTTAGTGTAAAAAAATCATGTGGTTATTTAAATAATATCATATTAATGTTAAAGTTCAGCTGTCATTTAATGGTATGGCTTAATCAGATGTAGCATTTAGGGTAAATAGTTTATTCAAGCTCTTTGTGGCTTTCAGGTTGGCAGATTCAAATAAGGATTTATGGGTTTCTAAACCAATGTATTTCTGTCCATGTTTCTGCTTGATGTACCTCACCCTTTAGTGCAGGATACTGCAGACAGTTATTTCAACAAATAAAGCATCCCCTCATATTGTGTTTGAATAAATTTGCAAGTCATTTAGAGAGGGTGCAGCACAAACGACTTCTGCGACCTTCAACTGGGCTTTCTGTGGGGACATGGCACTAATGCGATGGCTCAGAAGCCTGCAGAAGAAAATTACTCTGGTGAAATCTACTTGGGCTTCTCTTTGTAGGCAGACTCAGTCAATCTAGACTTATCTCCTCTCAGGATGTTTGTAGAGAACTCACAGGAATAAAATGCCCAATGGACATCACCTGGCTCTGTCTGAGCCAAAGCTCCTAAGTCCACCAGCGTGTGTGTGTGTGTGTGTGTGTGACAATGTTTTTCAGTAGGCAAGCTAGAATGTTGATATCTGCCAAGATTCCCAGGTACTTTTCATCAGTGGTGTAACCAGACTGAGTCTTTGCATAGTGGTAGTTTTGGTTTTGTTTCTAGTTGCTATCCCACATGACACAATTTATTTAGGACTTTGGAAAAATGAAAAAAACTAACCAGCTTCTTTACTTTATTATTTGGGTTATTCCCGAAAACATAGTCTTTTGAGAAGTAGAACCAGAACTTATATACCAAAGTCTTTTATTTCATTTTTTTAAAAATATTTTTTAGTTGTCAACGGACCTTTATTTTATTTATTCATATATGGTGCTGAGAATTGAACCCAGTGCCTCACACATGCTAGGTGAATGCTCTATTATTGAGCTACAGCCCCAGCCCTATTTCACTTCTTTTATTTATTTTATACCCTCTGTCACCTCTCTCCTGTTCATGTGGCATTCACTCCAGCACTGGTGGGGGTTTTATTTAAGAAGAAGCCACATTCCCAGAATTCTTGTTCTTACCAAACTGTCCAGCTACATTGTGTGTCAACAGGTGATTATGATTTAAGAAACAGCACAATATTGAATCATGTGCTTATGTCACCTTCACAAATGTGTAAAAGAATTGAGTGTCCTCTCTGTGCAGTGTAAATATTTACCTGCAAGTAACATAAGCCTATTTATTTTCATATGCTAAGTTCTGTGTTTGAGAATAAATATAATATACCAAAGCAAGGAATTACTTTATTTGAAAGAAAGATTTGGGGATTTTTAAAATTTTTTAGACTTCAAGGTTTTTAAATTTGTGAAATGAACAGAAAAGGTACCTCATAGCCCCTCCTTTGGCTCATTTCACTTGTAGTGGTCAGTCAGTTATGAAGACAAGTGAAATCATGTTCACTCTGAGCCAAAGTCTGTGTATATGACCACTTGATCATTTGTGACACTGACCAAAATAAGAAAGCAACAAAAATTAAGTTTTTAAAATCTAGCAGCCACTAAATAATCATCTAACACTTGTGCTTTTTAAATCTATTGTTAACTTCAAATGAGGCAAAAATCCATTTTCTTCCTTCCTTCCCTTCTTCCTTCCTCCCATATGCCTGTAATAAAAGGCATAGTGATCCTGAGATGAAACCACATTTAGCTTTGCCTTCAGAGTGCTTATGTGTGTATAAAAGTGTGCAGTGGGAATTCACAAAATTATCTAAATCTCATGAAAGCTATTAAGGATTCTACAACCTCAGTTAATCCTTGCTGATCATCTGTTTTCATAAGGAAAAAAAACCAACCAAAACAAAATGTGATTTGAATGGCTTTGAAACCCACATGTTTGAGAAAAAATTAGGGAAATAGGAAATTATTTATTGCATCATAACAAATAAGTTTTAAAAGGAACTAAACTATGAGCCATATCTAGGTTACTGAATAGCAACTGGTTTAGTCAAAAAGAAATTATTTTTTATATAACTACACTATGTTACCAAAAGAAAGAAAGCAAAGGAGAAAATTGGTCGATTCTGACATCAGAATAAAGCCTATAGCTTATTTTCTAGAAAGTAATTTTTCTTTCTTCTTGACACGAGAAGGAGAGCCACCTAGGGACAAAGTGTTTATTTCCTGACTCTGTAGACAGTTTAAATAGAGTGGAATTCAGATCAAATGAAAATGGCTCTGAAACAAATGACCATCCGTGTGGTAACTGGGGCCAAGAAATGGATTTTTCATTGAGTCTCACAAAACTTGATTATTACATTTGGTTGTCATAAAGTGTTGCAAGGATCCCTGGGAGGCTCCCAAGTTTCTCTTCACCTGTGTACTGCGTTCACTCACATGTGCGTGTGTGTGTGTGTGTGTGTGTGTTTCCACGTATCTGACTAGGAAGCCTTATTAGATCAGATTGGGCTGGCAATCAATGAAAATGAAAATAGAGATTTTCAAAATTCTTAGAAAAAAACGGAAATAATCATTTATGATTATATTTCCTTTTACCTCTGAATAACTCTAGTAGTAGTTAATAATTAATCAGTAATCCTGTATTTTTTTTCTAGAAGTATCTAAAAGAGTCCTCAAGTATATAACAAATTCATAAATTGAGAGCTCCATTAACATAAATGGGAGAGCATATTAGAACTTCACTATGGACTGCTTTGCATATGATGCATATATATTTGGAAAAAAAAACTTTTCTGAATGGTGACCTCAATGTAAAATAATTTTCTCTCTTCCTCAACTATTTCAACACACAAAATCAGAGTGTTTCCTTCAGAAATGAAGCGCTTATCCTTGCAGCATGAGTGCAGTAACTTCTTAACATAAGTTGCTTCTGAGAGGTCTTTTGTAACCAACCTGTGATACAAACAAAGCCAACCGTAGTAAATGCAGTCGGCCTCGCTAGCACCGTTCATACAATACTATTTAATGTGTGTTTTTGTTAGAGTGACTTCTGAGTCAACCTGGGGAATAATTGCCAGCTAACATTGCTATCACATTTTACGTTTTAAACGTGGTCTTGTTGCTTTGGTAGAATGACAGGTAAAACATCTGGAAAAGTGAAATGTGCTGTCAGTGGCTCCAGAGGGAAAGTATAACAGAAATACCAGAGCAGATCTGTAAGCCATACAAATATATATTTTTAAATAAACAGACTTATTCGTAAATAGGCCGTGACTAGATGCTTAAGCTTCTTTGAAACTTCATTCTACACACACACACCCCATTTTGCTCAGGAAACATTTTATTATATTCTAATTGTTCTTATGACAATGGCTAAAATTCAACAGAGTTTTCAAGATTTGTGAAAAAATGTCCTTGAAAATTTACTCTCAGAATTCATGCCTTGAAAAGGCCCCTTCTCTCACAGAGCCTTGTGTTCATATGTGCACATTTTCTTCTTTTTTTTCCCCCGGTGCCAGGGACTGAACCCAGGCCCCCAAGCATGTCAGACAAGCGCTCTACCACTG